CACTCCAGTCACATCCTATATAGCTTCTTGAATAAATATTTTACCAGACCCTCCGGTCTACATTCTCCACGATTACTGTACCTCTTGCACGAAAAGCTTCCGTTAATCCCTACAGGGGAAGGCTTGGTTAACAAGTACCGTCAGTACTAGTTGGTTGGGAGTCTTCTACACGAGTTGCGCGAAGTGACAAATATCATGGATAATTTCAGTCTTTCCTTGAATGGGGCTAATTATCTTGCATATCTCTAGCGCTCCGGCCTTATTTCCGGTGGTGTTCTCACGTACTAGCAGGGGTCTGCCAAGTAAGGCTGAGAAGATCTTCCAAGACAGTCACCTGCCCGGGGGTGGATCAACAGAGTGTCAGATGATGAGGCTCGTCTTCCTTCTGAGTCAAAGCAGTGCACTGCTCACTTTTACATCCTCCCCACTTCGTTCAGACAATATGTCTCAACTCTCCTCTGTCCACTGGAGCGAATGTGGAAATGGCTCCCGACAATACGCTCAATGGGGAACAACCTCCGCGCATTGAAACGGCAGTGGAGTAAGTATCCGATCGTCTCTCCATCATGAGAAGGATAGATGAGCTGATGCTATGAAAATATTAGTATCGTTGCAGTGCCAGCTATCGGTGCAGATCCCAGGAGGACATGGCTCGATGAGGATTCACAAACGCCGTGGCTTCTTACCGAGTTAGCCAGATGCATCCCAACCGCTCGTGTTCTAATTGCAGACCATGGGCATCTTGACTCTCAAGATGACCTGGACTTTCTGGCTCATCGGCTGTTAAAGTGGCTTCTCGAGAAAAGGGGGTCAACTGTGAGTACTTCACTAGCCTTGTGCTTGACGCAGAGCACGGTCCTGATATTGCGTTGCAGAGCCTTAGGCGTCCTATCTTCTTCATTTGTCACAGTACGGGCGGACTTGTCGCAAAAGCAGCGCTTGTAATAGCCAGTCAACTGACATCCCGACTTGGTTCGATTCTGTCAAGTTGCTATGGCATCGCATTTCTGGCGACTCCGCATCATGGCTCGAGTTATCTGTCGGCTCCGGAGTTCACCAAAAGTATTCAGCACTTGATGAGACTCAAACACCGCATTCCACCTCGCATTCAGGAGCTCTTCAAACCAAGACATCCCTACCTCTTACGTCTATCTAGCGAATTCAGGGCAATTTCGGCGGATATCAGGCTTTGGACCTACCTGGAGACCGTCGACTCAACTCTAAGTATCGCCGACTCTGAGGCTGGAACCACTATAGACATGCATGTTCCCATTACGTCCATTCGGTCTGGCATCCTTGGTTTTGAACATGAAAAAGAAACCCCTCTAGCTACTGACCACGTTGGCACTGCGTCTTTCAAGGGACAGGAGCTTACGACAAGAATCAGTTTCATAGATGAATTACTCGAATCTGTCACCGTGGCCATTCGTCTATCTAAGCTGACAGATGCCCCATTAGACGTGGACATGGAAGTAATGGTCCAAGTAAATGGCTTTTTCGAAGACACTGCGCGTGGAATTAGCGACGAAACTCCTTTGAAACTATGGTCCACCAAAGCGTCTCTCCGCGAGTATCTAGCCAATGGACCCTCTTCATGCCTTAATCTTAGGCTCCAAAAGACAGCCGGGATACCAGCGAGCATCTACGATGACTCCTCTCTAAGCAGCTTCGATAGCAGACCGACTTCTGCTCATGTTCGAGCGTCAATGGATGGCATATTGCAACCAAGAGAAACACCTGTAGCGGAAGCCAACAGACCGGAAACTCTTCTTCACCGACCCCCATTAAAAGCGAGTCGCAGTTTTATGGGCCACACATCTCCTCAGATCCATATTACTGAGCCAGTCGTTGGTGACTACTTTGCTGTACAGCCAGAATCAGGTCAAGATGTAAAGATGTCAGACTCACAAAGCCAGGATGAGATAGGTGACGCGAGTCAAAGCGAGACGGGTGTGGGAAACATTCTGTGAGTGTCTATTCGACTCCCGCCTGTAAAACTAAACAGTTAACAGATTTAATGCGAAGAGCAATATCTAGTCCTCCCAGATACAAAAGCTTCCTACCGATTCCACCGCCCTTCCGAGATACTGTCGATCAGCAGAGGGCCGAGATGCCTCGGAAGATGCCACGATTTGACCAGCCGGAACCAGGGAGCGAGAAACTTCTTTGGATCCATGTGCCTTATACCCACACTGGATGGGTACCAGCTATACTAGCCAAGGCTTGTGGTAATCACGACAGGCAGAAGTTGTACGTATCCCTCATTATATTCAGGCTTCTTGCTCACGTATCCAGCTTGGAGGAGTTTGTCAATGACGAATACTGGTATTCGAATCTCATCAGAGCCCGTCACCTTGAACCTCATGCTCGCTACGTAAGACCAGACTGTATTCACTTCAAGGACCGCAAGCCTCCGTCTCCTGATACCGTGGATGGGCATCGGGATCCTAGATTGGCTTTATATGTAAGTCTACCACTCTACCAAAGAAGCTGGATACTCACATTTCGTTCCTGACTAGATACCTTATGTACGTATTATCAGACCACTGAAATTTCATGCATGTCTTCTGTACTAAATTTAGTATAGCTCCACTGGGATACCTATTGGAATCTCGTCCAGCGGCGTAAAGTCGTCGAAGACAGATTGCGACAAGGACGCTTCAGACCAGTACCAGATGACATCTCCAAAGCGAGCCTGGAGTCAAAGCTGATTTGGAGGTATCTCGGAAGCGAACCACCCATTCATATCCGGCGGACATTGGATCAATTCGGGTACCCTAACTTACGGTCGACCGTGGCAAGAGATGATGACCAGATGCTCTGGAAACGGACGAAGAAGGTCGTCAACCTCAATGATGAAGTCAAGATTTCCGCCGAAGCAGAAAACTCTACTAACACTAAAAACACATTCATGGATGGAAAGGTCCTCATGGTCGATCAACTCTGGTTATGGATTGTCGATGAGAAGACAGTCGTGACCTTCTTCCCCAACCAGGAGGCCACGACAGCAGAAGGCAAGCTCTACGAGCAGTCAAATCTCTATAGCAGCATATACAACGAGCTTAACGGAGATCTCGCAAGACGTTTCGAAACAGCTGGCGACCTTGCTTCCTTGATAGTGCTGCATGCAATCACCGTCCTTCTGGACCGGACATTGCACCGTGATCTGCAAATACTCCGTATATTCGAAGAATCCATCAGCATTCTTGTGAGAACCCTAACTCTCCATTGTAGACAAATACACTACTAATCCTTCCAGACCGAAATCGTAACCAAATCCTTTAAACGCTTCCGAAACCGCGGCTTCAACACTCGCCCCGCCGACTATAACAAGAACGCCGAAGGCAGACCCATGTCCGCCGCGGAGCGTGACGAGAGGGACAACAAAGTAGCCAGACGAAACCGCGAGGACCTCTCCACATTACTGGAGCTGAGAGACATCGTAGACGAGCTCAGCACCCTCCTCAAACTCCTCGAGCAGCAAGCAACTACGGTGAAAACCATGTCCAGCTACTTCGAACACCGAGGCTGCGGACAAGCATTCATCGAATCAGCCCTCTCCCGACTAGAAGAGTACCGGAACCAAGTCCTCGAAATGCGCGAAAACGCATCCGTGGCACAGAAAGCAGTACGTTCTCACCAACCAACCTTCTCTCCCAGACAAGACATAGAACTAACACCCCCCAAACCAACAGGTCGAAAACCTACTCGATCTCAAACAAAAGCAAGCGAGCGTTGACGAATCCCGTCTCGCCCGATGGGAAGCAGAAGTCACTCAAGACCAGTCTCGATCCGTAATGGTCTTTACAATATTCACAATCATGTCAGTTTCCTTCCCCTAAAATACATCAACAAACCCACACAACTAACCCTGATATCATAACCCATCCAGCTTCCTCCCCCTCTCCTTCTTCACCTCCCTATTCGGTATCAACGCCCGAGAATGGAGCGGCGAACCAGAGAACCTAACCCTAGGCCAAATGCTATACATCTCAGGTACACCCCCACCCATCCCTCCTACATCCCAAGCACCTCCCTCCCCACCATCCCCAACCCAACACTAACTAACTAACTAACTATAACCCAACAGGCCCCGCCTCCTTCGCCATAATCATGTTCGCCCTCCTAATAGCCTTCAACGAACGACTCCGCGAAACCCTCTGGCGGGCCCAAAAGCTCATCATAGATATAGTCGCAGATTTCCTTCTCGCGCCGATCACATTACTCTTCCAGTGGTGGAAGATGGGGAGGAAGGTGAAGAGGAAGAGGTCTGGACCTGGAGCTGAATCAGAGAATAACCGGCCCAAGACGAATCGTCGCGGACTGGGGAAATATAGACGAAATGGGAAGATACAGAGACAGCAGTCTGGGGAGGATATTTGGTCCGAACATGAGGATAAGATGATGGGTGGTGGTGTGGGGCGTATGGGACTGGTGGATGGGGAGGTGGAGAGGGAGAGGACCGAGAGGATGGATCCGTATGCGGAGAAGGGGAGGAGGTGGGGTATTGATGAGTAGATGGTTGTTACGAGTACTTGAGATGGTAGAGGGTGTGGGAATTTGGGTGTTGATAGATGGGTTGGGGTATTTTAATGTTTTATAGATGGGAATATATATTGTTTACGATGTTGGTTAATAGTAGTAACTTGATCTAGGTCCGATGTTATTGATATTACAATATTTCGTTTCATACTTGGTAGACAGCAACATGTTTATGACTTCACTACGAAGGTAGAATGTTCTTGAACAATTAAGTAATGAAATTGCAAAACACCACGGCAGAGTGAACGGCCGTGGAGCACATAAAGTACATGGTATGATACACAGGACTCCCTGAGACTTTTTGTGCCCAATATAACGGAGTGGAGATGATAAGGGAGGAGAGGATATAAGAGGTGAAGATAGGATAAGTCGGGTAAAAGAGGATGTGGTTAGGTGACCAAAGACGTATAACACATTAGAGACAAAGGAGATAGTCGAAAACCAAGCACAAGAAAAAACAGATTCAGGACAATGCCCGTACTATGCAACAACACGCTGGAAGGGAAACCTCTTTAGAAACAAGGAACGGGTAAGGCTACACGAGAACGGGGGCTAGCTTAGAACATGCCACCGCCCATGCCGCCCATACCGCCCATGCCACCCATGCCACCGGCAGGAGCAGGGCCCTTCTCCTCAGGGGCATCAACGATGGCGACCTCGGTGGTACCGAGGAGGGAGGCAACACCGCTGGCGTCAACCAGGGAGGTGCGGACAACCTTGAGGGGGTCGACGATACCGCTGGAGATCATGTCGACGTACTCGCCCTTGGAGCTGTCGAAACCACGGTTGAAGTCCTTGGCAAAGTCATCGGTGAGCTTGCCAACGATGACGCTGCCCTCAAGACCAGCGTTCTCGACGATGGTACGGGCGGGGCGGGTGATGGCGCTCTTGATGATGCTGACACCGAGCTGCTGGTCGAAGTTGGCGGTCTGGACGTTGGCAAGACCGTTGGCGGAGGCCTTCAGGAGGGCAGTACCACCACCGGGGAGGATACCCTCCTCAACAGCAGCGCGAGTGGCGTTGAGAGCGTCGACAACACGGTCCTTCTTCTCACCGACCTCAACCTCGGAGGCACCACCGACCTTGATGACGGCGACACCGCCAGAGAGCTTAGCGAGACGCTCCTGGAGCTTCTCCTTCTCGTACTCGGAGGTGGTGGGGTCAGCCATGACACCACGGATCTGCTCGCAGCGCTGAGAGATGCTGTCCTTGCTGCCCTCACCGTTGAGGATGATGGTGTCCTCCTTGGTGATGGTGATGGCACCGGTGGAACCGAGCATGTCGGGGGTCAGCTTCTCGAGCTTGATGTCAAGCTCGTCGCTGAAGACGGTACCGTTGGTGAGAACGGCAAGATCACCAAGGATGCTCTTGCGGTTGTCACCGAAGCCAGGGGCCTTGACGGCGGCAACCTGGAGCTGGCCACGGAGCTTGTTCAGGATGCAGACGGCGAGAGCCTCACCCTCAATGTCCTCAGCAATGATGACGAGAGGACGGCGGAGGGTGGTGGAGGCCTCAAGGGCGGGGATGATGTCCTGGACGGCGGAGATCTTCTTCTCAGAGAGCAGGATCAGGGGCTTCTCGAATTCGACCTTCTGGGACTTGGCGTCGGTGATGAAGTAGGGGGAGGTGTATCCACGGTCGAAGCGCATACCCTCGGTAACCTCAAGCTCATCCTCGAGGGTCTTACCCTCCTTGACGGTGATAACACCCTCCTTGCCAACTCTCTCCATGGCGGTGGAGATGAGCTTACCAACGTGGGTGTCGCCGTTGGCGGAGATGGTAGCGACCTGAGCGATCTCCTCACCAGTGGTGATGTCACGCTTGTTCTGCTGGAGGTAGTCGACAACAGCGTCAACGGCGGCCTGGATACCACGACGGAGGTCCATGGGGTTGCAGCCAGCGGCAACGTTCTTCACGGTCTCGGAGAAGATGGCACGGGCAAGGACGGTGGCAGTGGTGGTACCGTCACCAGCGATTTCGTTGGTCTTGGAAGCGACATCCTGGAGAAGACGAGCACCGAGGTTCTCGAACTTGTCCTGGAGCTGAATGGCCTTGGCAACGCTAACACCGTCTGTTACAGTCAGTACGACCGATCCGCAAAGCTCCGTATTATTAATATGATTGTAGGGAGGACGTACCCTTGGTGATCTTGGGGGAACCGTAGGGGGACTCAATCAGGACATTGCGACCCTTGGGACCAAGAGTAGAGGTGACAGCCTTAGCAAGAGTGTCGACACCCTTGAGGAGCTGGGCACGAGCCTCAACGCCGAACTTGAGCTCCTAAAAAGGTGTGAGCAAGCTTCCAGACAGGGCTGTCGAGAGCTCCAGCAAAAGCACCCCAATTCCAAGCTAAGAGAACATACCTTGTGAGCAAAACGCTGCTGCTGCAGGCTGACGGGGGATCTCTGGAAAGAAGCACGCTTGGCAGCGGCAGACAGGACGGAGGTCCTGGAAGAGAGAGCGCGTTGCATCTTGAAGGGATGTTATGGAAAAACAAGACAGAAACAAGGTAGAAGAGGATATTAGAATACAATTAGATCGAGGGTAACCCGACCAGAACTCCCAGAGCAAGAACGGGTGTCAAGGGAGAAGAAGGAGAAGAAGAATGGATGGAGGAAGAGATGGAGATGGGGATGGAGATGAAGCCAAAGTCTCGAAAATTTTCCAGGCGATTCTCGATCCCCGGATTGTCTTGGCGGCAGAAGCTCCTAGAAGGTCACGTGGGGCCCGGCTATCCGAGGGAATCGCCTCGGGTCGTCGGAAGAGGTAACCCGTTGCCGGATATAAAGGCTTCTTGATATTTTATAACAAATAAATTTATAAAAACATAGGAGAGGCCCTAGGGATATGAACCGAAGAGTTTATAATATTCAAATGTAGGCTCTACTTTCTACTACTACCATTACCAGAACTATGAGAATGCCGGTCAAAATATATTCTGGTGAAGGGAGACTACCGTCTTTTTACTAGTACTACCGGTTAGTACTATACTAGTCTGTTGGTTCTCTCACCGACTCTCCCACCTACTACTATCTTTAGTAGTGGTAGTAGTCAAAAAAAACTGATAGGGAATACTACTTGCAGAAGAGGTGATAAATTGTGAAAGCTAGAAAATGAGCGTACTCACTTATGACAGTTATATAATCATGTTATGACCATTAGTAACTATTTACAAGACTGCTAGCTCTGCCGAGGGTATATCGAGTGATGTTGGTCGTCCCAGTAATTTCGCAAAGACAGTGGAAACTTTCATTAGTTTCTATCCAATACTGAGCAAGAGCAACTGATTGCTCCTTTCCATCAATTTGACATCATATTCTTAGAACCATATATACCTCCAGATATTTATGTTGGGTGCTGGGACTTCTGTAATTTTGGAGACGCATTGGTCAAACCGAGTCTTCAAAAAGTCAAAGCATAATAGTAGTGCCTGTTATATTACAACAAATCGATCTTGCTGGGTGAAACAGTACAACTACAATAAGATCTTAAGATAAATATGGGGAAGTACATCCCGTTGAGGGCGTGTCAGTCACGTGTGTCACATGACCCAACCTTCCCGAACCTCCGAAACTCGACCGTCTGCAAAGCATCCCAAAGCAAGTGTTCCTTCTCCTGAACAGAATCCCCTCATCTATCCCTCACCGTCAAAATGGCATTCGCTTGGAAAGCTGCTGGTATCACGTATGCTATCACTCTCGCTCTGAATCGTCTTGTCTGCTCCAGACCCTCCGACTGACGTCTTGGTTGACTTTTACAGCTACAACCGCTACTTGACCGTTGCCGCTCGCGCGGTCCGCAGGTCTCTCAAGGACGGTCCCCGTGCTGCTGCTGAGCGCCGCGGAAACATGGACTTGCGTTTCGCCAAGTGGGAGGTTCGTATATGCACGCCTGACATACCCTTCGTCAAGTTCAATGGGATGAGGACGGTTTTGACTGACTATCGGGTTCCGGATATAGAACGGCAAGCAGGGCGAAGTCAAGTCCCTCGCCAAGGCCAACGATGAGGCTCTCGCTGCTCAGGCCGAGTCGAAATAAATACCCCGTTCCGAAATTGTGTGAAAGAAGACCGGAAGATGTGTATTCTGGATGAAGGATGTTGAGGTCTCGGGTGGAAGCCATGGGCAGGAATGGAATAGATCTCTGTAGCATATTGGCCCCTTTGATCAGGTCTAAATAGAAAAGAACTATTTCTTCCTGCCGTTCTTCTCTAGCTGGCTAGCAGGGCCCGCTTAACCACAATGTAGTTCTTGTGCCTGCGAGAGCATGGGTTCCTGAACTGAACTCGACGGGCTTTGCTTGAGCGCGTGCGGCTTGTGTTCCCGCAAGTTTTGCCCTGTCCGCCCGACTCCCCGCCCTCCCCTCGCCCGCTCTCGGTCTGCTCCAACTCTCATTCCCCTTCTCTTCGGAACAACCCTTCTTTTTAGACGACCCAGACAATCTGGCAGCTGGCTGCAAATGATCGTGGTTTCACATGCTGCCTAACGACTCATTCCCTGTTTCGACAATGCGGGTTGTCACGCAGTCGGTAGTCCCGCGCGACATCACCGATGAATTTACATCCGCTGCCTCAAGTGAGCCACTTCCTCTCTACAGCCCGCCCTTTCTAATCTACCACCGTGTAAAGTGAATTACTCACTGACTACTTTTCTACCTTTACCTCAGAGCTGAAAACTGGCCAGCTCGTCAAAGATGATTACTTTACACTTTTCGAAGCAGTTGGGGCGCTGGAGGTCGGTTGCGACTCAATATACTTTTGACAGACGTCCGGCCGATTACATCGAACCAGAAGCTGATATTTCCCCATTAATAATAGATTATGGACTCCAAGATGGACAGTGGATATCTAGGCCCCGGCGAAAACCATGCGCAGGCTTTGGATGACGACTACGATGTGACGCGAGAGCTTAGTCCGGAGGAGGTCCTTGGTATTATGGACGGATTGCTGTGTCATGAGGTACGTTGAGGTACTCACACGCGAATAGTTGACGCTGCATCCGACCATGCTAACTGGTCTGTTGCGATAGATGGCATGGCATATGGGCCACCCTCTTTCCCAAACCCTCTTCACATCCCTGTACCTTGATAAGCTCTTATGGCCGGTCCCGAAGTCGCTCGACGAAGCCACCTTCTCTCGCGGATGTTCCGCGAGTCATGACAAGGAAGCCCCGATCGTGCATCTGGTACTGCGTGCTTATTGTCTGGCGCTCCTCAAATGCTGCGACTTTGTTCATGCACGAGTAGCCAGTGAATACTACTTCGAGGTTGGTTTTAGCTTCCTACATTCTGTTGGCTCCGCAGCTAACGACAATCCTTCATCACAGGAAGAGGACTTTGTCACCCAGCTCTATAATCGCAGTCTGCTGTCGCAATTCGAACCGGAGCCATTCTACGACCTCCTTCATCAAGCGATCTATTGGGTTGACGAACAGAAGGACCAGTCGGATGAGAAAGTGCTGCAGGCCATAAAAGCAAGACTGCTCTTCCGACGTGACTTTCTCAAGGGTATGGAACAAGATATCGAAGTGAATGAGACGAGGTCAAAGGAGCCCTTTTTGGCGTGTCTGCCCCAATTGGATGACATGGCCAAATCGACCACCCTTGGAGCGCAAGTGCCTGATTCATTCAGTTGGAAGATTCAAAGAAAACTGGCCAGCACTGTGCCTCCACGACCGATGGTGAATATCAATTTCGACGATGCGCTGGCGCATCTGAGACGACTATGCCAAGACGCAATTGATCTCCAAGAAGTCATCGGTTACCGCGGTCCCTACAATTTCAAGGTGGGTGGCCACACAGCTTTGTCGCTGCAGTAGTGTCTTACTAATGGACGCAGGTCACTGTCTGGACTTTGCTGTCACGGAAGCCTCAGCCATCAGTATATATCCGATCGCTGGTTCAGTCAATGATCGTAAACAACATGACGATACTGGGAGCCGTCCCTGTTAAACAGTTCCTGTACGATGAGCTCGCGGAGCTTGTACTACCGTCTAGTATACTTCTGCAAGCCAACATGGACGATATTGAGGTACCTTCAGACCCCCGCTTCCAGATTGCCAAGCAAATGGACGCGTTTGTGCAGCGCTTCTCCCAGGTAGGCACCTTCTATTCTCTCTTCCCGTGTATAGGTTTCTATTCAGAGCCTAACCCGACTAATTCATGCAGCCTTTTGTGGACACGTTCCGTAGTTCCTGCCTGAATCGCTGCCGCATCCGCCGTACTGTTTGCCATACCATTGTCGACTGGGATAACTTGCAAATGGAGGTAAGTCTCCCGATATTCCAGTCAGCATGGGTAGGTCTAATCCTCTGTAGGCAGAAGATCTGGATGAGCAACTCCGTACCCTCAGCAAAGAACCTCCGCTGATGCTCGCCAACGGCGACGCAACGTACTCATACCCTCTTAGTAGCTGGGCTTACCATCAGAAACTGGTTCAATTCCGTCTCATCCTTCAGCTCGGGTTCGAGCTTTCTATCTACGCACCGGAAGAACTACCCGGGATGTACTGGTACCTGTCCCACATCTGCTCTACTCATCTAGGCCATATCGATCGTATCCGCACATTCACTGTGGCCACGGCCAAACGAAACCTTCCCGATGTGGCCGCCAAGAAGCGCGATGCTCTTGAACGCCATGCTGCCCTCCAGAAGTCCCTGAAACTGCTCGAACGGCTCACCACGCAGATAGTTGCGATTGACGCGTTTGCGATTTCCCTGCACGCCCTGTACGTGCTCCTTGCTCGCCATCGTGTCCTGCCAACGGCCTCTGCACCCCAAGCGTACTCTAGCGACCGGTTGCGCTACGAACTCCGCATGAAACCCTTCCTTTCAATTACCTTGCCGGAATTGGTCCCCTACGATGAGTACCGCCGGGAAGCGGTGCTCGAAGGGGACAGTGATGAGATCGTGCTGGAGCGTGCCACTAAGGCGATCTCGGAAGCCCGGAAAGCGTGGGAAGCCACGCTAGCGAACGGGGCTTTTATCCGCGACTCCGATGGCGAGGAGAGCCCCGCACCGGCCATTGAAGAAGACTGGAAGCGCGACATCAAAGACACGAAGCGCGCCTGCATCGGTGCCAGTATTGCAATCGGAACAGTCAAGGAAGCATTGGAGAAGCGCGCGCCAAAGGAACCATCCGATGAAGCGGTCAACAGCCCATCGGTAAACCTCCAGGTGACCATACCAGAGGTTGGGAGCAAGGCCCGTTGGCATGATTGGTGGATAGTCCCGCAGATCTCCCAAGCGACAGTAGCAACCTCTAAGAAGACATGAAGGGCGTCCTCTCTCTACGGCGACCGGTACTTGCCAGGCGGGCGCGAGTCGTGACAAGTAAACAAGACCCTTGTTGCCCTTCTTGCCGCGATCCTTACGGGGATCAGACCACGCGACGGCGGTCCCCCAAGGGTTGTGTGCGTTCTTCCCACCGTAGGCTGGAAGCGAAGACGACCGGCGCGGAGTACTAAGGCACATCC